GAACTCGAGTGCGCGCGATGGATTCAATCATCCAATTTTCTCAGCAAAAAAAAATGTAATGGAAAGAAATATGTAAGGTAAGTATACAACGCGTTTTAAAGCCTCGTAAAACTTTTTAAATGAATGAATTTGGGTCATGCGGGATACCAATAAAAAAAGACGATTCCATCCCAAAGTGAAAATGAGCGTAAAATCCATTTTCGATTCAATCCCAGGTAATGAATTAATGAGAGTTCAATTAGTAGGAAAACCAAGTCCCTCGGAAATTTCACCAACGATTATCGTCCAGGTTCCAGAGAGAGAAATATTCTTCTTTTAAATAAATTAGGAAATTTTTTTCCGGCCAATTTTGTAAGTATTATCAACTTGAATTCCATTGATGAATACCCACACCCCTCTGTAGTCAAAATTGAGATATTGATCGTTCGCAGGTTTGACAATGAACCCTTTCCTGTGTTCATTACGTGGGGAAACTTTCGAGTGTCCGGCCTTGGGACGTAGTGATGATTTCCAAACGATGCAGGATATCGTCTGAAGCGAAAGGGAGACGGGGCGGTTCACTTTCGCCCGGGAAAGAGACGAGAGGAGGTCGCGTTTAACCAGAGTGGAAACCCAAGGAAAAGCAGACAGGAAAACCGATGGAGGAAGGTTCTCTGGATGGCTGCAAGGCAGACGGCCGACCTCGATAAACGAGGCGAGAAGGGACGTCTGACCTTGGGACGCGTCCTCCCGCGCGATGATTTCCCTCTTCCACTCCGAGGCAGGAAACATGCGAGTCTCTACGCACATGGCTGATTCGTGACCCACCTCGCGATAGGCGGCCTCGGTCGTGCGGGTTAACTGGGTGAGAAACGCATCACCCCAAGCTGAAACGAGGAATAAAACAATCGATAACGACTGGACTTTTTACGATTTCGGTGAAGGTTTTCTCTATTGATAAAGGCATCGTGATGCATCAATGCTGGGGAATCGGCCAAAGAATGGCTTTCTTTAAATCCCCCGCTGAATCGAAAATGACTCCCAATTTCGGCACGAAGGACGTCGGCCCGGACGAGCCCGTCCCCAGACCATTACGAAACCACCGCTGTTTCCATTACCATTCCGTTCGACGCAAGATTCCCCTGAACATTGAAAAAATAGTGAACGACGCGGGTTCCTGCAACCAACTGAAAGTTAATCACGATGGGCAATTAAATACATGCAAACTGGGAATGGAGAGGCTGACGTGTTCGAAGGCGTTATTAGTCAGTTCGGGAGGTCCTCCATTCGAAAAAAAATTACTTGGAATGGAACCCGTTACCATTCTTTTGACCAACGATTGAAGTTTTTTAAATTGATTTTTATGTAGCAATATGTAAATTAGCGCAATCAAGTTAATGAAGTCGCAGACCCCTTTTCCGTCGCTCTCATGGGACTATGCGTCCATCGTCTGACACCCTCTTGAAATAAAATATTTTTTTTATTTCTTGCAAAGGAAGGGATAAGCAGACGTGCAGTCCGGAAAAAGAAGGAAACGAAAGAGGTATATTTCCAGAATTTTTTTTCCGTCTGGAAAAGAATTCCTCGAGGGGGAATGCCGCGACACCACGTCGGCGGCAGATTTCCCTACGATTCGGAAGGAGGGAAGGTCAGAGGAAAGGTGACAGTGAAGGCCATGCACGCGGGTGGGACGGGCGGGAGGAGGGAGCTCCACCGTCTCTTCCTTTCATACTGGAGTTGTCTTCCGTGTGTACTCATCGAGCCTCGGCCCGCTTCTCCTTCACGCCGGCCTTTCCATGGTATGAAATATGTTCTTCCCAGCTGTGTAACGTAGACACGTCTCTGCCATAATAGCCCGTCTAGCCCGTAGTTTCGTTGTTGCAATGCGTAATTGATTACGGGAAGGGACAAAGGAATGCCATACGCTGCGAATCCTAATTTGAGTATGTCTACGCGAAGACCTTTTGCACTGTCAAGCATCGAACCAATTTCGCAGCATTTGAATTTCAGGACAGCCCTTTAATTTTCCCTGCAATCGAATTGAAAAAAAAGGCGGTAGCGGGGACTTACGGAATTGGTTTTCGGCATTCCGTAGTTGAATACCGGCAGGAGAAGCGACGAAAAGTAAATAGGTATTGCAATCTCTTGAGAAAGTAATTACTGGATGGTCTTAAAATTACTTTCGTTGAGCTCTCAGTCCGATTGTTGGCAGGCGATTCTGATGAAAATTTGCAGGCGTGTAGGCAAACATATTTTGAGGTTTGTGCGACATTTCCAATCAAATTTTCAGGTACTGAATAATTCATTTTCCTGGTTTCCTTACTGTTGCCAGACGCGAGAATGTGCACTACCGCTGTTTTGGCATAGTTTTTTTTCTTTATTTGCTCCAGCTTTAACGGCTCCATAGACAGCTCCCACAGCCCGTAACCAGTCTCCATGGGCTCCTCACCCAATTGGGGACAACTGAGTGGCCGTAGATGATATCCTTCCTTGGGATGGGTCTGTGGTTTTCTGGGAAGCCATGATGATCAGCAGCCCAGATTCGGCAACGGTGTCTCCACCACTCCCCTTCAATATGGAGAGAACTTTTCTAAAGGTGAATTTGGTAAGAGATCACGTTCCTTTTTCCATTTGTTCATGGATGAGATTCTCTTAAAGCAACCAAAGTAAATTCATAATTTCCATCCCAGGTGTTTGGTGAATGAGAGGGCCTTGAAGACCTTCTCCATCGCATACCCGCCCAGCATCATCAAGCTTACCGGAAATCCTTGCAGAGCATTTCTCCTCTGAGGCACCAAGTTCAGGTTAATTGAATTCTATTATCTTCATTGTTGAATATTTATCGGTTTCTAAAAGTCATCACTGGGTAATGGCTATCTGTTTCACTTGTAAGACAAAATCTAATGCGAATACTTGACCTTTCTACGCATTTAAAGTAAATGTGGTGTTAGGGATGGCATTAAGAGGTCCGATTGAGTGCCCCGGGATCGGTGGTGTAGTGTTAGCACCCCTGACCGGCAATCAGGAGGCCAGAGTTCAATTCCCGGCCGTCCCCTGGCTCTCTTTCGCCCTCTCGTGCCATCCATCTCCTTCTAAAGGACACTAATGCATTATATAAATTCATATTGGAAGCATTTATGTGTCGTTTTGTGCATGGCAAGAATCAATTGACGCAATTCTTCCTGTCAGGGTCATATTTTATATGGTGACAGGAAATGTAGGAATGGAAATTTATACCAATGTTTAATTTGCTGGTACAGGGTGTGCTCCAGAAACTTCCATGGAGAGGGGAGTTCTAGTGAGGTCTGCCCGGACCGAGGGGGAGAAACTCCTTGTGGCCCGTCAACTATAACCCATAGTTAAAAGGCACCTGTGGGGTCAGTAGGGACGTCTTGAAGTGCAGAGCTCTGAGTTCTCAGGCTTGTTAGGATAATCAGGATCTAGTTGCTTTAGAGGATTTCGGATTTTTTCCCCCTCTATGAATCAGCTAACTGCCTCGCGTGAGCTTGTTTCGTTTGTTAAGCCTATTGCTATCTCAGATATTAACTTTATTAAATTTGTGTCTAAATGTGGAATTAATATACCAGGATTTAAAGACTATGAAGCAAAATTCTTCTGATTAAACTGATACCTAACCTCAATATATACAAATAAAGGAAGCTTGACCTAAGACCAAATCTTTTTTGTTCCCTTTGACCTAACTTAACGTGGCCTTGTCTACTCTAACCATCCTTAGCTAACGTGGTTTTAGTGCTAACCCCTCACCTTAACCAACCATAACCTCGACTAACTCCATTAAAATCCACATTACAAGGTCACGTTGGGTGAAGATCTTTGAAGGAATGAAAAGTTCCACAATTCTAATCGTATAAGTGGTGCCTTTCGTTGCAATCACCAGTCCAATTTGATGGTAACCAGGGAACAAAATTCATCAGTAAGAACGTATAATCTATTTTATTTATATATGTATATATTGAAAAGGTATTGAAGATTGCAGTGTTTTATTTTGCTGAGGTACATGTTTCTCATCGAGCTAAATTGCTTTACATTGATAAATGCCTTTAACTATAATTGAACTTTCGTGTCAGCAGTCGATCTCCAACTTCGCTCTTCAAGGTCTATTTGAACTTGATAGGTTTCTCTTAATGTGGGAGGAGATTACTAATTTAGTTGGAAATTTGTGATAAGATACATTGTGGATTTTTTTGGATATTGCATTTTCGCTACACTGAGTGGAGGATATTACTTTAGTTTGACGGGAGGGTTGAAGTTAGTCCTATCGTTGAAAGCAGTTCAGTTTCCAACATTTGCCGTTGGTTCCAATTGTACGACTTGATCCTTGATGCTTCCAATACTAAACCCCGAGCTTCCCCAGTCAAGTTAGGCATTTACAGAATGTGGGTGACTTGAGTTGATGTAGCAAAAGGTCAAAAGTTTGCTCCGTGGTTGGTTTCCTGAGAGAGGAAAGCGACAGCTTTAGGGAGGTGAGTCGAAGTCTTTGTTGGAACTTACTATCACAACTTCTGTCTCGATTGTTTATTCAAAGTTCATTTTTCTTTCATTCTTACATTTTTTTCAATTTTTACCTCGGTTGGCAGGTTTGTTCAGGCACTTGCCAATTGTGGAGGAATAGCAGACAGATACCATTGTCTGGGTCATTGCCTGGCCAGGATGGCCTCATCTCCCATATGGGCTTCGCATCGGCTCCGAGTCCACTTGCTCCTACTACTCCATTTCCGCTCCAGGTGTAAGGTGATCTAGTTATGTTACATCTCTCGGGCCCTCCTCCCTGCCGCTCTTTTCAAATCTGCAGCCCGGTTACTTCTGGGCTGCAGAGGCGCTGTTCCCCTTGGCCCGGCCCTGGCTGCTGCCCTGCCGTTTCCCGCCTGGTGTCTTCGGCTGGCTTGCAGCCGCAAGTCCGCCGCGCGGTTGCTCCTTACCTGCCATGTCCCCCCTGCCTCCTGGACTGCTGCCTTTACTGCGGCTGCAGTTATTGATATACGCCTGCCGCCTGGAAAAAGTAATATATTTGCATTTACTCACTGTTTCTCACTTAGTTACATTCTACCTTTTACATTCAATCTGAAAACTTCGATTGATATGGATAATATATTTTAATTCTATGGTGTCCTTTAATTTATAGCTTTCTTCAGCAAATTTGTGTATCACTTAATAGTTTTCCTAACAGATGTGCAACCAGGTCAGCCGTAAGGCTCTGGCGGAAGTCCACAATTAGAGGGGAATATATTTTTCCCTATGTTTTCTTTAAATACGAACACCCTGTATTCGGGTCGTTAGTACATCTGTCAGGTAAAAAGGTAAGAGATATTTTCATCCAATTAATTTTAAAATGCCATCGAGCCTACTAGCACGAAGCATCAAACTACCGCGTCGGCGCCGCGACCGCCTGTGGCCAATCTGTCGGCCCGTCTCCTTGTAAGATAATCTAGTTTGGGCCCTGAGATTGTAGGGTGTACTGCTGCTTCTCCCCTCCTCTTCCTGCCGATCTCCGGCTGTAATAAAGAAGTCAAACATGAATTTGGTTCAAGTGCGCCATGAAAACTCCAAGGGGCTGCATCAAGTGGGTTCGCTTAACCATGGAAAGCAAGTTTGACATTTTGACAAGCCCATGGGATGGGAGTAGCTCAAATATTGGTATTCCTATTTTTTTGGCGAGTCTTTATTTTATCTTGGAGTAGTAACTAATAGACTTACTGGGCGGGTGGGCCTGGAGCAGCTTGGGGGCCTGGGGCCGCTTGGAGGCAAATTGGAGCAAGCGGAGGTCAAATTCCTCGGCCACCACCCTCCGGAGGTCGGTGACCGAGACGATAAAGTGGACCCGGAGTTGAGTCAAGTTGTCGGGGGCCTCCCTCTCCCTCCGGAACGCGTCTGGTTCGCGTAAAATCCTGCACAAAAGACAGCAGACACTCAAAGTTTGGCAAAGACAGGCAAAGTTTGTAGCATGAGCACTGCACGAAAGGATGAGAGGGGACGAACAGGCGGGCATCCGTCTCTTCTCCAACGATTGCCTGCAGGTCAGACAAGAGCATGACCGGGCAATCGTATGGGGTCGGATATGGGGGCCAGCCTCTCAGTGGGGAACCTCTTGGAGAAGACGAAGACTCCCCCATCGGTGATACTCTGGGAGACCAACTTGGGGACCAACTTGGTGACCCGAAAGAAGATCTCACCGAGGAGACGTCCGAAGCCACCCCGTAAGGGTGAGCTCTTTCGAAAAACTGGGGATTCCGCCATTTTTCCCTAGGCAGAAGCGAAAAAAGCAGGTCAGTCGCATTTCATCGAACGTTTTTTTGCGATTCAACAGCTTTCAATGCACGAATCTTTTCGGGAAAAAATGTCATTATTGGTATCCATTTCTGACCACTTGTCGCATATCGTGCCGTGTGCCAAATCTGTGCTAAATTTCCAGGCGGTGAAATACGTGTGCGGCTCAAAAACTTTAGAAGAAAAGGGTGAAGAACATTGGCGTAGGAAAGAAATTTTTTTTTTCAACATTAATAAACTTTTTCATCCGTTACCCACAAAATTCGGACGCACCACTTTGCATGTCCAGCCCTCAGTGAAACAGAATGTCAATATTTGGAAGGAATGTTTAACTGAAACGCTATTTAAAAAAAATTAATGTCAGAGGTGATTTCAGACCTGAATTGAGTATTACAAGTATTACGGCCGGTATTGGAACAAGTCTTAGTCTTAGTTGCAACTTACTATCACAACTTCTGTCTTGATTGTTTTTGCTTCGAAGTTCATTTCTTTTATTCCTAAATTTTAATTTTTACCTTGGTTGCCAGGTTGGTGCAGGCACTTACCAATTGTGCAGGAATAGCAGGTACCATTGCCTGGGTGGCATGGCCAGGATGGCCTCATCTACCACATGGACTTCGCATCGGCTCCGAGTCCACTTGCTCCAACTACTCCATTTCCGCTCCATGGACTCCTCACATGATCAGGGACAACTGGGTGGACGTGACTAACGTTCCCCCAAAAGGAGAGTGCTGAGGGAATCTAGGATGTACGATGGCCAGCGACTCTGATTCAACATTTGTCACCTCAACCCGGATGGGGACTTTTCCACCAAGAATGGTTATTTTGGGGATATGTCCCTTATTTTGAATGAGACTTGCGGATGAGATTATCGTAAATGAAGCAAGTAAAATGCACAAATTCTATTTCAGGTGTTGGGTAAAAGAGTAGGCCTTTTATCAGCAGGAGCCTCCTTCTCCATCGGCTCCCCGCTCAGCATCTCCAAATGCACCGGAACATCTTGCCAAACATGCGTCATCTCCCCATTTCATCTCCAAGGCAACAAGTTCAGGTTAATTTCGTTCTTTTATTACTTTCTTGTGTGCGTTGTTCGTCGCTGCTAATATATTTTCTATACAGTGTGTTCGTATTTAAACGCGACATAGGGAATATTTTCCCGCCTGTAGGTGGTCGGTGAACGCTGTAAGGCATGCCTGGTGCAGGGCGTGCTCCAGACATTTCCATGGAGAGGGGAGTTATAGTGAGGTCTACCCGGACCGCGGAGAGGCTCCTCCTTTGGCTCGTCAACTATAACCCATAGTTAAATGGCACCTGTGGGGTCAGTAGGGACATCTTTAATTGCAGAGCTCTGAGCTCTCAGGCTCGTTAGCATAGTCTATAACCGTTGGCTTCAGAGTTTCGGATTTTTTCCCACTGATTAGCTGACTGCCTCACTCTCTATCCTGTTTCGTTTAATGAGCCTGTTTTTGCTTCAAAAATGAATTATATAAAATTTGTCTCAATGTGTAATTAAAATGTTGCTTCGAAACAGTGTCTTGTGAAAAGGAGTGAAGGAACTTTAATACCTAACCTCAATATATACATTTGAAGTAAGCTTGAACAAAGACCAAGTTTTTCTAGTTGCCTTCGACTAAACCTAACGTGGCCTTGTCTACCCTAACCATCCTTAGCTATCATGGCTTTAGTTCTAACCCTTGACCCTAACTAACTCACTCACAAACTTACTAACCCTAACATCGTCCAACTCCATTAAGTCACATGACATGGTCACGTTGGGTAATTAGAACTTAGATTGAAGTGAAATAGTTCCACACTTCTCATGGTATGATAAATGCTGCCTTTTGTAACAAGCACCATTCTAAGTTTGAAGGCAACCACGGGACTACATTCAAATCAATTCAAATGTTGAAATCAGTGCAAACGTTGTCTACTTGATTTATATATGTATATATTGAGGGAAGTATTGTTGAAATTTTTATTGTTGAATTTTTTTAATTTTCTCAATTACATGTGTTCCATCGAGCTTAGTAATTGCTTTAGATTGATGCATGGCAGTAATTATAATTGATGCTTTGTATGATAAATCTTTCTGCAATTTCGCTCTTCAATAGCTACTGGAATTTGATAGATTTTGTTTTGATTTTCGAATGAATAATTAATTAAATTCGTAAATTATCAGATTCATTGAATTTTTGGAGATATTACATTTTCCCAAGATTGAATTGAGTGGGACAGACTTTAGATTCATGGGTAGAACTGAAGTTAGTCCTACAGTTGAAAGCAGTTCAGTTTCCACTATTCGCTGCTGGTTCCAATAGGACAACTTGTTCGCTGGTGCTTTCTATACTAGACTGAGCTTCTCCAGTCAACGTGGCCATTTACAGAATGTGGGTGACATCAGTTGACATGGCCTAAGGTCACAAGGTCTTTGGCAGTTTGCTCCCTGGTTCAAGAAGTGTTTCCTTCTCGAGAGATCGAGAGGGGGAGTGGGAAGCGCCCTTCCTGCAGCTTCAAGGTGGTGAGAGAATGTGGTACTTAGTTGCAACTTTAGTTCACCACCAGTTTACCTCACCATTTTTATTGCAGGTGTTGGGTGGGAGGTGAGGCCTTTTTCCAGCAGGAGCCCCCTTCTTCATCGCCTCCCCACACAGCATCTCCAAGTACATCGGACAATTGCTGAACATGCGTCATTTCAAATGCAACAAGCGAAGGTTAATCTTTTAATCCTCACAAATCGAAACGAAACTATAGGTTCTTCAATGTATGTTCCAAATGGCTGTTTCTTACTGCGGTTTGTCTATTGTAAGTGTTTTGTAACAATCTGCTGTGTAATATTGGTTCCAAGACATCTACAGGATGAGTCAACGGCGTCTTTGAACGGCTGGAACTCGACAGGAATTACATTTTGAATCGTTTTTAAATTACTGCATTGGTTGGTTTTACCGCTCCTTTTTCCACTCCATTTCAATATAAAAAATATATGGTCCCATTGGAGTGAGGACCCATGAATTAAGACAAATACAAATTGTTATATGGTTTCCAGCGTATGAGGACATGAAGCTATTCCATGTTTGCTCGAAAAGAAATGCTGAAAAATTTTACTTTGTCGAATTGCGCTTGGAACACTGATTTATTTGATGGTAAATTCATATTTCAGTTAATTACTGGATAAATGTGTGAAAATGTATCGTCTGGTATTCACTAGTATTAATCTTGTATGAATTGGTTTTTGAAGCAGGTGGGCTACGTCAATGGTGATACAACTCCAAACCCCTAGGAAGATGACCTTGGTGGTCACCAGTTCCGCTTGCAGACAAGGCCTGGCACTTCATTGCAGTGGGAGGCATAACTTCCATACGTCCTATATGTCCAACTACTCCAACGAATCGGATCCAAAGGAAAGGAGGTTATGCCTGTACTCTTGAAGACACGTCGTTGGTGATCAGTGATCTGTCATATTGAATTCACATGTTACTCAATTTAAACTTGGGATTTCTTGTGTAATTCCTATATTTGAGTTAACATTCTCTAAATGCGCTTGAAGTTCTTCTGTGACTGATGTTAACGACTGCTCGAACTGGTTTACTACATCTGGTCTGCGTGTTTGACCGTGCTTGAAAAATGCTTAAACTAATTTTCCCCATGGCAAGATGGAATTCTGATGCTCGCCACAACCCCATCATGATATTTTGGTGAAATTCTTAATGGAATAGCCTGGTGAGAGTCTTGAGTACAATAGCATTCAATAGTGAATAACTTTCTGAAGGAAAATTTTATTTTGAAGTTTCAATCAAGTTGATCTCCCAGGCTTGTTAGCGTAGTGTGAGAGTTGGTTGTTACTGAATTTCGATTTCCCCCCCCCCACTCATTAGCTTACTGCTCCACTTCAGTCTGCTTCGTTTGTTGAGCCTGTTTAGTCCTCAAATTAAAATAAATTGGCGTCTAAGTATGTAAATAATATACCTGTATATAGGTACTTCGACGCAAATGTATTGTGAATGGGAGTGAAGAAACCGATACCCAACCTCAACATATACGAATAAGGTTAGCTTTAACGAAGACCAAATTTTTCCTAGTTGCCTTTGACCAAACCTAATGTGGCCTTGTCTACTCCAACCATCCTTAGCTAACGTGGTTTTGGTTCTAACCCCTGACCTTAATAACCCACCTTAACCTCGTCTAACTCCACTAATTCACGACAAGGTCACATTGGGTAATAACTACCATTGAAGCGAACTTCCGCCCTTCTAATGGTACGATAAATGTTGGCTTTTGTTGCAAGCTACAGTCAAAGCTTGATGGCAACCACGGTCTACATTCAGATCAATTCAAACGTTTTGTCTTTCATTTATATATGTATATATTGAGGTGGTATTGTTGAAGATTGTAGGGTTACTTTCCTCACTAACGTGTCTTCCATCGAGCTATATGGATCGAGCTATCGTTCTCAAATGTCGCTTTTCAAGAGCTATTTGCATATAGTGGGTGACACAAGTGTTCATGGCTTAAGGTCACAAGGCCTTTGGGAGAGTTTGCCCCCCTGTTGCAAGAAGGGGAAATTCGTCCCGAATTTTCATAGGTCAAGTTCTCAGATATTGAGAATCTTTTTCAATGAGACTTTGTATGTATCAAAAGACAACAAAATCTGCTGTTTGTGCACTTACCTTGTTACCCCCTATACTTTTCAACACACCCCTCCCTCTTTCCTCGATTCTAACGCGATTTCCCTGTCCTTGCAGTAGAAGTTTTCTCTCATGATTCAACATTGTTTTGATTTTGTTCATTTTGAATTTCATGTATTTTTGTGCCAGTGAATCTTCTTTTCCTGTCTGATGTATATCAATATATAAATATATATCGTGACACTATAAAACACAGATTAATCGCCGAAACAGTCGAAAACATATACGAGTTCGTGAGAATTTACTCACTTGCAAGACATCCCTATCTCTTTGAGGGGAGTCCCGAGAATACAGAGAATCTTGCCACTAATCTCTCGTGTGGACGTGAGAGATGCGCGGCTCCAAGATGTTCAGGCCCGAGGTCAGCAAGAAGAATCTGCTAGCCGCGTTTCTGACATTTCGGTTTTGTGAAATGCAGCGACTGCACGTGGACATTGCATCGGTGCGCTCGGCTGCGTTCAGAATTCCAACTCCCTTACGAATCTTGCAGTCTGACCGAAGACGTGATATCGTTACGAGTATGACAAGGGGACAGATATAAAATTTTGATGGGGGTGTGGCCAAATGCGTCCTATCGTGTGACGTCATATGTGCCATTAGATGAATCTCGACCAACAGAATGAAAATTCCAAAGGGGCTTGACTCGATGGGCGCCCGAGTTCAAAATTGATGCGTCAAAAAACTCGACTGAATTATATGAGGAACAGACAAGCCAACTGGCAATTACTCGAACGAACAAGATTCTCGTGACAAAAGTGAGATGGCGCCTAAATCGCCGCCGTGATGAATCGTGTCCTTATGAAGTGACTTTTCGAGTAAGAATCGGCTCATGAATCAGCTCAGCTGATTTTTCTCGATGACCTTTGATGGATTTTCATCCAAATGAATACAGAAACATCGATTAGAGCACGTCGAGAGATCCAAGGTATCGTTTGCCACCTGTATCACGCCGTGTATCGGTCTCTTCCCGACCGTGCTGCCGATGGAGGCGATGTGACAATTTACGAGCCGTATCGGCTGTAGGATTCTAGAATGAGATCCTCGAAGCGAAGC